AGTCATAAAAAGACTTGAAACTTGAACTCTGTTTCTCTCTCCAGATATTGCCAGATCTGTTGAGTTTCTCCAATATTTTTTGTTTCAGATTTCCAGCATCTACAGTATATTGTTTATTAAGCTGTCAGAAAACTGCTATAAAATGTCAACTGCCTATATAATGTCACTATGATCATTTAACCCCTCAAAATTAACCCAAAACCCCATCGATCTTCAAGTATTGATTCAGTTCCTTTTTGAAAATTACAACTGAATCTCCTTTCATTTCCCATTCTGGTATTATGAACATGTATTTTATGGCATGGTTCACTGAGTGTTTTTTAAATAAAACTTTCCTCAAATTTGACTCTTCAGTTATTTTAAATCTGTATTGTCTGGATATGGTTTTTTTGGCCAGTGAAGACAGTTTTTCCTTTTCATTATTCTAAAACGTCTGTAATTTTTGACTATTTCTATAAACCTTCTCAGTTTTAACAAAAACAATCCAAACTTCACGCATCTTCTGTAACTGAACTCACTCCGCTCTAGTACCATTCCAATATATCATCTTGACATTTTATGAGCAAGTTTCCGTGGAAGGTAGGGCTTGTATATCACCATATTCCAGCCTAGGCTTAGCCAATGATTTTGTATTTAAAATATGACCTTTTTTTTAAACTCCAAGTAGTTCTATGTAAAGCCAAGAGCAACTTAGACTTCTTTTAAACATAGCATTATAATAATTGTACGTAAGCACTCTGGTTTCTTTTCTCCAGTGCAATGTTGTTTGTATTGTTTCTCATTCTCTTTCCAAGTGTCATTTCATGCTGCTTTGCATTAAATTTCATATTTCAGTGTGCGTTAAATTTCACCTCTCAGACTGTTCATATCACTGTACTCCTCAAGACCGTTGCTTTATTCCTTGCTCACTCCTTTCTAACTTTGAGGTCATCTGCAAAGCTTAACCTGTAGCTTCTCCTACCCAAGTTCAGGTCATTAATGCCACACCATAGGCCCAACCGTCTTCAGCTACTTCATCAATCATCTTCTGGTCTGAAGTAAGAATGTTCGCCAATGATTACACAATTACTCAACGCTGTGATTCCAGTCCATGTTCAAATGCAACAAGATCTGGATGTTATCCAGGATTGAGCTGACAAGTGACAGGTAACAAAAGCAAAGTTGCTGGAAAAGCTTATCAGGTCTGGCAGCATCTGTGAAGGAAAAGACAGTTAACGTTTCGGGTCCGGTGACCCTTCCTCAGAACTGATAGTGGCTGGGAAAACGTCAGTTTATATATATAAAATACATATAAAATGTAGAAAATAGGGAGGTGGGTGGGGTAGGGAGTAAACGATAGGATAGAGCCCAAAGAGAGAGAGAGAGAGAGAGACAGTTGGACAGACAAAGGAGTTGCTAATGATCAGGCTGGGAGGGTGAATAATTGTTAATGGGGACTGTTAGGGACTAACAACATGGGGTGTGTAATGGCAGGCTATGTGGTAACAAGGCCTGGTGTGTGGGGTAGGGGGCTGGGATATGGAGAGTTTAGGCCATAAAATTATTGAACTCGATATTGAGTCCAAAGGGCTGCAAGGTCCCCAAGTGGAAAATGAGGTGTTGTTCCTCCAGCTTGTATTGGGCTTCACTGGAACACTGCAGCAAGCCAGAGAGACAGATGTTGGCCAGGGAGCAGGATGGTACATTAAAGTGGCAGGCCACAGGTAGTTCAGGGTCTTTTTTGCGAGCAGAACGTAGATGTTCTGCGAAGCAGTCGCCAAGTCTATGCTTTGTTGCCCCAGTGTAGAGGAGACCACATTGTGAGCAGCGAATGCAGTAGACTAGATTCTGGGAAATGCAGGTGAAGTGTTGCTTCACCTGGAATGTATGGTTGGGCCCTTGGATACTGGGGAGTTGGGTGGGGCAGTGGTGGAGGAGGTAAATGGGCAGGTGTTGCACCTTCACCGGTTACAGGGGAAGGTCCCTTAGGGCTGTGTGGAGGTGTTGGAGGTGAAGGAAGTGTGGACCAGGGTGTCCCAGAGGGAACGGTCCCTACGAAAAGCAGATGGGGAGGGGAGAGGAATAGGTGTCTGGTGGTGGCATCTCGCTGGAGGTGGCGGAAATGGAGGTAGGTGAGGATAAGGGGAAGCCTATTGTTGTTGTGGGAGGGAAGAGAAGAGGTGAGGGCGTAAGTGCGGGAGATGGGTCAGACCTGGTTTAGGGCCCAGTTGACAACAGAGCTGGGGAATCCACGGTTGAGAAAGAAGGTGGACATTTCGGAGGCTCCCTTGTCGAAGTTGGCCTCATCTGAACATATGTGACGGAGACTGAGGAACTGAGAGAATGGGATGGAGTTTTTGCAGGAAGTGGGGTGTGAGGATGTATAGTCCAAGTAGCTGTGGGAGTCAGTGGGTTTGTAGTGGATATTAGTGGCCAGTCTATCCCCAAAAGTGGAAACAGAAATGTTGAGGAAGGGAAGGGAGAAGTCAGAGATAGACCAGGTGAAAGTGAGCGCAGGGTGGAAATTGGAGGCGAAATTGATGAAGTTTTCCAATTCATGACGAGAGAGAGAAGCAGCACTGATGATATCATCAATGTATCGGAGAAAGAGTTGTGGGTGGGGGCCGGAATAGGACCGGAACAAGGAATGTTTCACATACCCCATGAAGAGACAGGCATACCTAGGGCCCATGTGGGTACCCATGGCAACCAAACTTAGCTGAAGAAAATGAGAGGAGTTGAAAGAGAATTTGTTGAGGGTGAGGACAAGCTCAGCCAAGCGGAGGAGGGTGGCGGTGGGTGGGGATGGTTCAGGCCTTTGTTCCAGGAAGAAGTGGAGAGCCCCAAGACCTTCCTGGTGAGGAACGGACGTGTAAAGGGATTGCACTTCTATGGTAAAGAGGAGGTGGCTGGAACCGGTAAACTGAAACTGGCATAAGGCGTCCGAGGAATCATGGATGTACGTGGTTAGGGATTGGACTGGTGGGAGAACACTGAGTCAAGGTAGGAAGAGATGAGTTCTGTGGGACACAAGCAGGCTGAAACAATGGGTCTGCCTGGACAGTCCTGTTTGTGGACAGGTAACGTTAGTGCCATACGAATGCTAAGCAATGACCATCTCTGATGAGCGACAAACTAACCACCATCCTTTGGTAACACCATTTGAATGTCACTGAATCTCCAACTACCAACATCCATGGGGTTGCCATTGACCAGAAACTCAACTGGACTTACCATATAAATGCAGTAGCAACAGAGCAGGTTAAGGGCTAGGAAAACTGCAGTGAGTAACTCACCATCTGACTGCCTAAAGCCTGTCCACCATCTATAGGGCATAAGTCAGGAGTATGATAGAGTATTCCCCGCTTGCTAGGGTGAATGTAGTTCCAATAACACTCTGGAAGCTTGATACCATCCAGGACAAAACAGCCTGCTTGATTGGCAGTACATCCACAAGCATTCAGTTCCTCCTCCACTGACACTCAGCAGTATGTATTATCTACAAACTGCTTAGACAGCACCTTCCAAACCCACAACCATTGCCATCTACGAGGTCAAGGGCAGCAGGTACATGGGAGCTCTACCACATGAACTCTGTCCAAGCTACTCACCATCCTGACTTAGAAATATATCACCTTTTACTTCGCTATTGGATCAAAATCTTGGAATTGCCTCCCTAAGGTAACTGTGGATCTCTATAGCACAGGGACTGCAGCGGTTCAAGAAGGCAGCTCACCACCATCTTCTCAAGGGCAACTAAGAACGGGTAATAAATGCTGGCCTGCCAGTGATTCCCACCAGTGAAGAAAAAAATGCCAACTTTTTGCCAACTTACTTAACCTATAAATGTCATTTTGTAAACTATTTGTCTTTAGCAACTTGCCTTTCCACTATTTTCGTCTCAACTGCAAATTTGCTCTCTACATTCATCTCCTTTTTCCAAGTTTGAGATAAATTGTAAAGCGTTGTAGTCCTGGCACTGATCCTTGCTAGACGTCAATGGTTGCAAGTTGTCAACCTGAAAAAGAACCCCTTTATCACCACTTGCCATTTTGTCCCCATTAGCCAATTTTCTATCCACACTAATATACTACTTCCAACGCCATAAACTCTTATAAACTAATCTTTTTGAGCTACTTTGTTGAATGTTTTCTGGAAGTCCAAATGCAATACATCTGGTTCCCCTCTATCCACTCTTGGTTGAAACTACGTTGGAAAAACTCCAATATATTTGTCAGACACAATTTCCCTTTCGTGAAACCTTGCTGACTTCGAGTGATTATTGATTTTCCAAATGTGCTGTTATTCCTTAATAACTGATACTAACATTTTCTGACAGAATATGTTAAACTAAGTGACCTTCTGTGAAATGACTGGCTATATGATTGTTCTTTAGAGCACAAGGTGACTGGAGATTTCATGAGAATGCTTAAAGTTTTGAAGGGCTTTTATAGAGGCAATAGGGAAACTGCAGATGTAATGTTTTTGGCAATTTTAAAGAAAAAACTAAGAATTAGTGTATTTCAAATCACAATACCCAAAAGAATGTGGGAGGTATTTTTAGTACTAATTTTTGAAAAACAAATTAGGCACGTGTTAAACTGTTTGTTAGTTTTATTTATATGTTTATTGGGTTGTGGGGGGAGTGGGAATTTGGCACTAATGGAATAGCCCTTGCGAAGGGGTTTAGATTTTAAAAAGTTTACCTTTTTTCTTTCATGCTCTACGATGGGGCATTTCAGAATGTACTTTAATCAAAATCAATACCAGTTGACATAGGTTTGCTAAGTCATACTTGAAATTTAATATAAGGGAATGTGGTAATTTTAGTGTAAGCAGTGTTTCAGGAGGCATTTGAAATTACCAACAAAAATAGAGCATATTTGAAATTTTGAAGAACTTTGACACAGGCAAAAAAAAATTACTTCCTCAACAACAATGATGCCATTCATTTTAGATTTCTTTCACAATGTAAAGATGTTTTGAGTCTGTCTGATTAAAAAGTAACTTTATAATTTCAGCTTAAAAGAAGTGATGTAAAGGAGTTCTTCACGGAAGATTCAAGTAGTGAGGACATTGAACGCAGCTGGATCTTGGAACCCCAAGTCATAGTTACTCCAAATGCTGCAAACTACAGTAAATGTAGAAAAAGAAAAAAATCTAGCTTAAGAGGTTTGTTTGATAATCAAATGTATCTTGCATACCTCAGTGGATCTTTAGCCCAACTCATTTGCTAATTTGTCACTTTATTTTCAATGGAAGTTTTGCCACTCTCTGAATCCAGTGAAGATGAGCAGGAACCGAGAAAGGTAAGTAAATTATTTAAATTTTATTTACTTTTCTGCACTCAGTCATTAGTAAAATCCTTTATCTTTATATGTTTTAGCCAAATGAATTTATTAATAATTGAGCTACACGAATTCTCACAATTGTCTTAAGATTTTGTTCCAAGTGAGGTGAATGTGACAGCCCTTGACATCAAGGCAGCATTTGACCATATGGCATTAAGGAGCCCTAGCAAAATTGTAACCAATGGAAATTGGGTTGGGGCATGGGGAGGGGACACTCTTTGACATCATACCTGGCACATAGGAAAATGGTTGTGGTTGCTGGAGGTCAGCCAGCTCAGTTGCAGGCCATCACTGCAGGAGCTCCTCAGGTAGTGCTCTAGACCCAAACACAATTTGCTTTATCAATGACCTTCCCTCCATTGTAAAGTTAAAAGTGGAGATGTTTGCTGATTAAGTCATATTCAGCACCATTCATGACTTCTCCGGTACTGAAGCAGTCCATGTTCAAGTGCAGCAAGACATGAACAAAACTAGGCTTGGGCTAACATGTAGCAAGTAACATTCATGCCACACAAATGACCATCGTCCCTTGACAGTCAATGGCATTGCCATCTCTGAATCCCACATTATTCACATCCTGGGAGTTGCCTTTGACCAGAAACATAACTTGACTCATCACACAAACAGTGTTTACAAGAGCAGGTCAGAGGCTAGGTATACTGAAGTAAACAACTTGCCTCCTGACTGTCCAAAGCCTGTCCACCACCTCCACCAAGGCACAAGTCAAGAGTGTGATGGAATACTCCCCACTTGCCTAGATGACTGCAACTCCAACAACAGTCAAGAAGCTTGACAAAACATCCATGTCAAGACAGCTGTGCTCAGTAGCAGCAGTGCTACGATCTAAAAGATGCACAACAGAAATTCACCAAAGATCCTTAGACGGCTCCTTCCAAATATATGAACACCTCCATCTAGAAAGTCAAGGGCAGCAGATAGATGGAACACCAGCACCTGCAAGTTCCCCTCCAAACCACTCACCACTCTGACTTGGAAGTACATGGCCATCCCCTCACTGTCAAATTCTGGAAATTCTCCGGAATGATGTCATGGGACGGATTGCAGTGGTTTGAGAAGACAGCTCATCATAGAGGTTGTTGACTGACTTGCTCGCTGAGCTGGCTTGTTCTCGTTTAATCACCATGCTAGGTGACATCATCAGAGGACCTTCTGATGAAGTGATATTATTCTACTCTGCTTGGAATTTTTATACTGTCTAGTCCATAATGGTGAGTAGTGTCATTTCCGGTTTTGATCTGTATGGGTTTGCATATGGGGTACAGTTCAATGTTTGTTGATTCCATCAAGGGTGGAGAACCATGCCTGTAGAAATTCCCGTGCATGTCTATGTTTGGCTTGGGCTACTATGGTTACCTAGTCCCAGTTAAAATGATGGCCTTCATTATTCAACAGAAAGGAAGGAAACCAGCCGTCAGAATACATGAACGTTAACTAGCAGCAAAATGGCATGACAAACTCTCCTTAATATCAGTACACTTGGACAATGAAGGCAATCAGTTTAACTGGGACAAGGTGACCATAGTAGCCCAAGCCAAACGTAGATACACATGGGAATTCCTAGAGGCATGGTTCTCCACCTGTGATGCAATCAGCAAACATAGAATTGGATCCCATATACAAACCCATACAGAACAAAACTGGAAATGACACTACTCACCATAAATGGACTGGACAGTATAAATTCCAAGCAGAGTAGAATAGCAATGCTTCATCGGAGGCCTCACTGATGTCACCTAGCGTGGTGATGAAATGTCTGAACGAGAACAAGCCAGCTCGGCGAGCAAGTCAACAACCTCACCTACGACCTGAGCTACAGGTCTTTGTCAAAACTTTAAAGCTCGTCATAGAGATATACAGCACGGAAACGGACCCTTCAGTTCAACTCATCCTTGCTGACTAGATATCCTATGTAAATTTAGTCCTATTTGTCAGTATTTGGTCCACATCCCTCTTTAAACCCTTCCTATTCATGTACCTATCTAAATACCTTTTAAATGTTGTAATCATACCTGCCTCCGCCACTTCCCCCGGCAGCTCATTCCATACATGCCACCACCCTCTGCAAAAAAAGAAAAGTTGCTCCTGATGTCCCTTTTTTATATCTTTCCCCTCTTCTCAAAGGAAATTGGGGATAGACAATAAATGTTGGCCCAGCCAGTGATGCTCATGTTCCATGATTGAATTAGAATAACAAAGCAATTGGCTTATCGTAATGGAAAAAAATTGTTGGAATAATCCTTCTATTACATATGATTATTCGATGATAACTCGCTCTCCCAGTAACAGATCCTGCCCCCATTATGTTTGTATTTACTTGCATGAGAGTATGATCCCTATCCATAACAGATTTGTTTGGATTTTGCCGTGTGTATCAAAAAACAGCTTTCATCTTTAGTCTGGTGGCCCTGTATGACTGACCTCATTGCAGCCTTTGTCTGAGCAGAGACAAAACAGCTGAACTCCAGAGGTGAGAGTTACTTTATAAAAAATGAAAAAAAGTGCAGATGCTGTAAATCAGGAACAAAAACAAGTTGCTGGAAAAGCTCAGCAGGTCTGGTAGCATCTGTGGGGAAAAAAAAATCAGTTAACGTTTTGGGTCCAGTGACCCTTCCTCAGGAGGAAGGATCACTTGACCCGAAACAGTAACTCTGTTTTTGTTGTGAGAGTTACTTTTGCTATCAAGAACATTTGACCAAGTATGTCATTATGGAGCCCCAATAAATCTAGATTCAGGGGAGAACTCTTCCAATGTTTGGAGTCATGCCTAATACAAATGAAGATGAATGGATGCCAATCATCTGTCCTGGGAAATCGCTGCAGGAATTTCATCTTCAGAGGCTTCATCAATGATCTTCCCTGTGTCATGTTCACTCTGCAATATTCAGTGCCTTTTGTGACTTCTGTCTTCCTGAAACAGCCTGTGTTAATGGACAACATCTAAGCTTGGACTAGCAAGTGGCAAAAATCACTTCTACCACAAAGGTGCCAAGCAATGGTTATCTCCATGGCTCCTTGATGTTCATTTAGTATACCATTACTGAATTCCCGATTAACATTTTAACATTAACAGAAACTGAACCAGACTAGCTTGTGACTGCAAGAACAAATCAGAGGCAAGGAATGCTGTGATGTGTCGTACCCCCTCATAGCTCCCATCCCTCCATCACCCCAACTCCAACGCAAAAGCCTACCCATCAGCTTCCAGACAAAAGTCAAGAGTATGAGGGAATACTCTTTGCTTGCCTGGATGAGTGTAGTTCTAACACCACTTGAGAAGCTTGCCAATATATGAGAAAAACGTTCAGGACACAGCATCTCATCCGATTGATGCCCCATTCAGCATTCTGTTCTTTCACCACTGAAGCACAGTGGCAGCAGTGTGTACCATCAATAAGATGTGCAGTCATAACTCTCAAAGCCATCTCCAAGAGCACATTCCAAATCTGTGACCTCTACCAACCAGAGAGACAAGGAATGCATGTGACCACTACCGCGGGTTTCCCTCCAAGCCGCACACCTTTGTGACTTGAAAGTGTATTCCTGATTCTTCACTGTCACTAGTCAAAATGCTGGACCGTCTTTGTCTAACAGCACTATGGGTGTCTCTACGTGCAAAGGACTGCAGCAGTTCAAGGTGACAGCACACACGCACCACTGTCACATACAAGGCAATTAGCAATGGGTAACAAATGCAGGCCCAGTCAGTGATGCCCACATGTTTGTTTGTCTGTCCATATGTATGTGTGAATGAAGTGGAGAACAGAAGTTTTCACCTTTTTGCTGAATGAGTGTTCTGCTTAAGATGACTTATGGATGCAAAACATTGCAGTTTTTTAAATCAAACTATCCATTGATTGACAGTAATAGGATACCTTTTTTAAACATACGAATGTGGAATTGAGTGAAGAATATAAAAGTAGAACTAGTTAGTTTAGGATATTGTTCGGCGTGGGCTGGTCAGAACGAAGGGTCTGTTTCCATGCTGTATGACTCTGGCTCTGGAATTAGACGTGTTGGCTCTTTGAGTTTATGTACCAATATGTAAATAAAATCATGCCCAATCTTTAACCTCCATTCTACTTTCCTGCTAATCCCCATGTTCATAGCTTCCTTTCAAGTACAAAAATCTATCTGTCTTAACATCGGATATGCTCAATAGGTGCATATCCCAGACCTCTGAAGAAATTCCTCCTCATCCCAGTCTTAAGTAATTGATCACTTATTTAGATGCTATGCCCAAGAGGCATTGAATAAAATGCCACCAGAAGATTAATAAGAAAGAGGACTCTTTGGCTATTATTACCATAAACTCAATCTGGAAGATTGGTTAACCAAAGTACAGAGGAGAGATTCATGGGGCATTTTCAAGTTGCAGCAAGGATCTGTGACCTCAGACAGTTACAACCTATTTAAATGACTTGGACAAACAGACCAAAACTTCTGAATCCAGGTTTGTTCATAATATAAAACTTGATGGAAATGTAAGCTGTGAGAAGGGCAGAAAAGCTGCACAGAGACCAATTGAATGAATGGTAAGGTAGGAATGAGAAGTGGAAGTTATTAGCACAAAGGTAGAATAAGTAATTGACAAGATACATGTTGAATTTGGAAGAAATAAATGTCAAGGGTGTTTTGCTAAAATTGTATAGAATTTGGGTGGGACAGCATCTGGTGTACTGTTTGCAGTTTTGGTCTCCAAGGAAAGGTAAGATTCACCTTTTTTAAAAGCTGGTACAGTGAAGGTTGCTCTACTTGCTCCCTGATTGAGATTACTTTCATTTGATAAGCTGAGCAAATTTGGCCTATATATATCTTGGATTTAGGAGAAAGAGAGATGATCTCTTTGAAACATAGAATTTTGTAAGGTTGTCAGGGCAGACAATGAGAAGTAACTCCCTGATTAGGGCGATCAAGAACACTGGATTCTCTACATCTTTGATAGGAATTCAAAATGCAGATACTTCAAGAAGAACACATTTTGAAATGTAACGGCAAATTGAGAAAAGAAATGAAAGAATATTTTTATGGATCAACAAGATGATCGACAGCACTTTGGCTCTTGAAGTGGAAGGGTCAGTATCAGTTTTCATTTTATTTTTGGACAAAAAAAATTTTCATAAATGCTGATTTTTCTGACTGGAGGATTATCATCAGTGATGATCCCCAAGGGATGCAATACAGAGTGAAACTTAATTTGATGACAGCAAGGGCATAAGTAGCCTAGCAGAATAGATTTTGAAGTGAAGAATAGAGTTTAATGCAGCAAAACATGCGGTCGTGCACTTTTGGGAGGAGGAATTGCACAATAAAATGCAAACTTAATGGCATAGAACATGCAGGTCAAAAGGACCTCTTCAGCTTCCTTGTGCACAGATCTATGAAGGTGGCAAAGCATTCTGTGTTGGAGGGGGTACAAATAAGGATCTTGTGTTCAATACCTCTATAAAGGCCCAAATTGTGAAGTTGCACAGAGCTTTTATAAAGTTTTTCTTTAATTTTTATTCTTCCACTCAAAAGCCTTCTGTAATAATGTGCCGTTTGCCATCTTAACTGTTTGCTGTTGCCTGAATATCAGCTTTGTATCTTGCACAAAGACACTTAACACTTTCATCAGCAACATTTTAGAAGTTTCTCATCCTTTTCTTTTTAAAAAGAACTGCTTTTATGTTCTCCTTATTAAACAGAATAACCTCTCATTGTTAACATTATACTCCATATGCTACCTTGTTGACCACTCAAAAAGAGCACACCTTTTTGTGCCCTCCTTTGTTGCTTACTGCTCTACCTAGCTTTGGATCTTTAGTCTTTTTTTTTTAACATGTTCCCCTCAGCACCTTCATCTGAATCGGTGATAGAGATGGTAAATAATTCAAGATGCATTACTGATCCTTGTGCTGTCTCGCTGGTTGCAGTTTGCCAAGTTGTAAATATCCCTAATTTTCTTTCTATGGTAACTACTAATCACGATTTATCTATCTTCTTGGACTGTTACTGAATTGTTTGTCTGACATTCAAGACTGATGGAAGATTTGTCTTTTATATCCCTGTTACTAACTCCAACCTCTTCATGGCAACTATCTGGGACTGTAGTAAATGGAATGCAAGGTTATTATATTCTAACCCAAAATGAACTTATGAATATTTTTATCTGTATCATCAAAGTACTCCTATTTCCACCTCCACAACATTGCTCAATTCCACCCTGCCTCAGCTCATCTACTCATGCAGCCCTCTTTATACTTGACTATTCCAACATACTATCAGCTGGCATTCTGCCTGTGGTAAAATTGGCATCATTCAGAATTTTACTGCTCAGCTGCCTAGAATTTCAGTCCTGGGTTTGGAGTGCAGAGGCAGGACTTCCCTGGCTCAGGAAACCCAACTTAGTGAATAAAAGGGGCCTGGACCTCAGATTTTCATGGCAGAGTGGTTGGGTTCTCTGACAGTCGGATGACCCTGGAACAAGGTAGCGGATTGCTAGTTATGATGGCAGGCTGATTGGAAAGTCTGCTTTGATGTACCAGTGTTGTGTAACAGGTTTATTTTATTAAAAAAAGCAATCACAACCAACCCTTAAGCCTGTATTCTTCACCGCTACCACTCCCCAGCACATTCCTTGTCCTCTATGCCCCTTTACCCATCCCATAACTCCTCATGCCTTGTATGCCAGCCTATGCCCCCACTCATTCTCATGTTTTTGTACTAATTTGATACCAACCCAAGCCCTCACTCCTCAGTAGCCCTTCTCTTTTTGAACAAAGACTTGTATGTTGTCCACTAGTCATAAACTAGTGACCTAGTGTATGAATGAGCATCTTTGGTGCTCATTAATTTAACTTGGCTTTTATTTTTATTTCCTAGGATTTCTGCAGTGTCTGGCTCAAACACGGATTTTTGGTCTAAAATACCCAATATATTAACTGACATTTAAGGTTATAGAATTGGGAATCTTGCAATTTTTTTTTCCCCTATAAAACAAGTGGTTCTGAATTCTCCACCACTTGAATATCTTCACCTGGCTGTTATCGGTCCATGCTTCCTAATCTTGCCTTACCTTTGTAACTAATTATTTCTCTGGCCTATTTATCCTTTCCCTAAAAATCCTAATGTGCCAAAATGTTTCATCCCATTGCTTCTTCCATCTGCCCTTTCTCATGTTGGAATTGTTACATCTTCTTTCTTGCATCATTGATTCTAAACTAGGATATGCTATAGCCTTCAACTATTCATCCAACCACCCTTCCCCTAATTTCTTCAGCCACTCAATTATATCCTTGACTATGGCACTAAAGGTGAACATACTATCCTGGAACCAGATCTGTGACTGCAGAGACATCCGTTTTCCTAAGTATTGAATATCTCATCATTATTGCTTTTCGGTTTTCCACCACTGCACCCCCCACCCCTAGTTCCCTAAACTATAAAGCCAAGTTCCCCATAATACCACAGACTTGGTTGTGACTGAACTCTCCAGAATAACTATCCTCTTGCATGTGTATTCTGAATTGGATATCAGATAGAGAGGAAGATGCACTTAGAGTTGCACTACATTCTTGATTCTTCTCTGATTTTGGTTCATTGCCAAGTCAGCAATGGCTTTGATGTCAGCAGAGGACAATGGTGGTTGGAAGAATGGCATTACTGTTACCACTGCTCAGTTCATAGATTGCGATTAGTTTTGCCTCTCCAAATACAATTAAATATAGCCACATTATGATCTCATGGAAGAGGAGAGTGGAAGGTGAGGGAGGGTATGTTTAATATACTCTACTGCTAATTCCTCTCTGGTGCTTTTGCAAAAAAATTCAAATTTCCAGAAAATGTAGAGTCATGGGTTTATGATACCTGACAAAATATGCTGTTCATAATTTTGTAATTAGATTATGTGGATATAAATATAGATACTTGTAAAAAAAATCATACTGTGAGGATTGTAATTCTGAAATGTAGTTTGTTCTAAGCTTTGTTTCTGGTTAAAGGTAACTGAGAAAACACAGCTGCAAACTCAAGAAGAAAAACAAAATATGCCTCCATCTGGACAGATTATGCCAGAATTTCCAGATCGACATCAGACACTAGTTCCTGTACAGAAAGCTAAGAGGATTAAAAGTAAGATTTTAGTTTTAGATTTTAAATGGCTTTTCTGAGAAAATTCCAACTCAGAAATTTTGGAATTTGATGGGAATTATTAAAATGTGAAATAAATCAATTTGAGCACAATCCAAAGTAATAACAGCCATGTTGTATTGCAATATGTTTTATGCTTTCATAAATTTATATTTAAGCTATATATCTGTGCTACTGAAAGTGAAGAAATGGCATGGAGAATTTGTGAAATTATTAAAGGCCTGGGTTTTAACTTGGAGTTGAACAGGAAGTAGGTTGGTACTCAAATATTATGTCTTTTCAATTTGGCCATAGGATATGGGCAAGGGCAGTATTTATTATCCATCTCCAGTTGTCCTGGAGAAGGTACCAGTGATCTGTTTCTTGAACCACTGCAGTCCTTGAAATATAGGGATAGCCACAGTACCGTCAAGAGAAGTTCAAGATTTTGAGTCAGCAACAATGAAGGAGCAGCAAAGTAATTCCAAGTCCTATAATCTTTTTTGTTTAATTGTTCACCATTATTCATAACTTGGATATGAAGGAGTAGGCCGCTTAGCCTTTCAAACTGTCTCCATCATTAAATAATTTCATAACTATCTGGTTTTTAACCTCCATTCTATGCTTATCGCTGAAAATCTTTCACCCCTTGGAAATCAAAAATCTATTTATCTCTATTTTAGTAATAGTTAATGTTAAATCTGGATGTGGAAGGACTGAAGAGCTTAAATCTGATCTGGTTGGTATAGTTTCAGCAGGTTAATGTCAGAAACGCTAAAGGAATTTCAAGATGTCAGTTTGTGACACTTAAAATGACCACCTCAAAGTTTTACATGTGCCTTTAATGTAAATTTTGTGGCAATGGGTGTGAGGACTGCATTAAATTATTTCAATGAAATATCCAAATCAGAAATGACCTTTTTAAAGGAGCTAAGAGTTTCAAAGCCAGGAAGAAGTTTAGCATTTAGAACAGTCAATGAGTACATATTGATTTAATGATGCATTATATAATAATTTAGCATGGCGGCTCAGTGGTTAGCACTGTTGCCTTACAGTGCCAGGGACCTGTGTTCGATTCCAGCCTCAGTTGACTGCCTGTGTGGCATTTGTACATTCTCCCTGTGTTTGCATGGGTTTCTTCCTCCAGTCTGATTAATGCTAAATTGCCCATAGTGTCCAGGGATGTGCGGGATAGGTGGATTAGCCATGAGAAATGCAGACTTACTGGGATGGGAGTAGGGGTGCGTCTGGGAGTTGTGGTCCATTTGGAAACTCTGTGTAGACTCAATGGCCTGAATGGCCTGCTTCCCCACTGTAGGGATTCTATGAGTCTATAACGCTGGCGTTGGCATATCGTCACATCTGATTCTCATCAAGCTGTGGGATGACTTCTATTATATTGGGGAGGCACGGTGGCACAGTGGTTAGCACTGCTGCCTCACAGCGCCAGGGACCCAGGTTAGATTCCAGCCTCTGGCGACTGTCTCTGAGGAGTTTGCACATTCTCCCCCTGTCTGCGTGGGTTTCCTCCGGGTGCTCCAGTTTCCTCCCACAGTCCAAAGATGTGCAGGTTAGGTGGATTGCCCATGCTAAATTGCCCATAGTGTTCAGGGAGGTGTAGATTAGGTAGGTTATAGGGGGATGGGTCTGGGTGGGATGCTCTGAGGTTCGGTGTGGACTTATTGGGCCGAAGGGCCTGTTACCACACTGTAGGGATTCTATAATTCTATATTATGGTCACTGCCCCTTTAAGGGCTTCTTGACTTTCAGCTCCCTATGCCTCATTACACATCACCAAATCTGGAAATGCCTGTTGCCTAGTGGGATCTACCACAAGCTGCTGCAAAAGAAATCATCTCATAAACATTCCATTAATTCTTTTCCTTGAGATCTGCTAGCAACCTGATTTTTCCCAGTCCACCTACATATTGAAGGTCCCCCATGATTACTGTAAAAGTGTCTTGTAAAAGATCATCTTCATAATGCAAATGTGCAAATTACTTACCTTTCCAGCAGTATTCCTTTCAATTTTTATTGTGGTCTCTGGCAAATTGATTTCTTTGCTTTTAAATCACTTAAATGCTGTATTTTGAAGTAAGTTGGTATTTTTGAACAAATTCTTGAATGCTAATGGAATAAAGGAATGAAGAACTAGGAATATAGACATCAGGTAAAAAGATCAACCAAAGTGAATCGGGAACAGGATTGATGGGCTGTAGAGCTCGCTCTGGTATTCTTGCATTCAGCGGGATAATTAAATTGCTTTTCCTGAGGAGTTTATGCTCAAATAACCTGAGGTATTCTGAGTTAAAGTGGAAGTTGGTAGTTTGAAACTGACTTAGCGACATGCATATTTGCCAATTTTAACTCTGCCAGCTGCACCTAAATTCCTGGACGACTTCAAGTTGAAATCCTATACACCTACCAAAGAGGAACCTTATCTCTTAGATTGACTAAGTGGCAATGATAGTGTGCTTGAGCAATTTTTGAACCCCACATTCTCCTCCCATATACATCATTGATTTAGAAGGGAATGCAGCAAGAATAAATGTTCTCTATCTTGGTAACAGCTGAGTAGCTCTTTCAGTAAATAGTCAAACTGAACTGTACGTGAGTTTTGTAAGTTTTGGCAGAATCTGTGGATTCAAGGAGCATTGGCTGCGTTGATTCAGAAATGCATTTTCAACAATTTTCAGCCACATGCCTATTGGATGATCCATCTTTGACTCTTCCAGAGGTCCCCAGCATCACAGATGCCAGTCTTCAGTTAATTCTATCCTTTCCTTGAGATAGCAAGGTGCTGCACAGATTGTAGACCCTGACAACATTTCTGTTAACAGCATTGAAAGCTTGTTATTCAGAACTTCCTTGGTAATTTCTTGTGCCCAACTATCTTTCTGTTTCATAAAGGATTCTCCTGCCATCATAAGGCTGGAAGTGGAATATTCACTGAATAATAATCAGCATGATATGACTTTTCAAATACTGAAGTAAACAATGTATGAAAGCAGTAGGTCCTCTATAGTATCCATGTTTGGGTCAATGAACACAACGTGCCAATGACCATCACCAGAAAGAAAAATTTATCTATCATCTCTTGGAATTCAGTGGCATTTCTATCACTAGTTCTCTCCACTATCAAAATCCTGGAGTTTACCACTGACCAGAAAATGAATTTGGCCGGCCATACAAATATAGTGGCTGACAGCAGATCAGAGGATACGAATATTGTAACAAGCAACTTAGTGCCTGACACCCAAAACCTTTCCACCACCCACAAGCCACAAGTCTGGAATGTGATGGAATGCATTCCACTTGCTTGGAAGGGTGCAGCTCCAACAACACTCCGCTTGACAACCATCCAGGACAAAGCAGGACACTTAATTGGCACCACATCAATAAACATTCAGTCCTTCCATAGTTGGTGCTCAGCTGCAGCGTGTACCATCTCCAAGGTACATTTGTAACTTCTTTCAAGCATCTTCCGTCATTTTCAGCAATTTTGTGGGAAGTTCTGATTTTGTTTCAAAGATGCTTATTTTGCTGTGTTATACATATTCTTGAGACCTACAACTGATTTCAAGAACATTCTGCACAATTTTGCAGAATGTTTGGGTTTTTTTTCTTTCATAGTTGCTTATCATGCTGTGTTATGCAGGTTCTTTATAATTTCAAGTGCTGTCAAGCATCTTCCATCGCTTTCCGGAATTTTGTTGAAGGTTCTCATTTTGTTTCAAAGTTGCTTATCTTCCTGTGTTATGCATGTTCAAGGAAATTCCAACATTTTGTGCAGTTTTGCAGAATATTTTGTTTTTCTCTTTCAACATGACCTTACTCAGCAGGGTCCAGTTTGGACACATTAAGATGGATGGAGAGTGGATTTACAGATTTGAATTGTAGGGGTGAAAGTTAAGTGATGAACTGAAAAGGTGCATACACAATAAATCAGAAAAATGGGAGATTTCATGTTCATCAAAATCTCTGTGTTTTAATGTGTAAGAAGGTATTGATCTTGTGGTACAACAGTACTGATTTAGGGTATTGCAAAACAGCTAGAGGGTACAAAAAGATGCAATGTGGAATTTGTTGACTAATAGAGTGGTGGAAGCAAATTATCAAGTTTCTTTTTGAAAGTATTTTGTCTTTAAAACTGAAGTTGCAAGGGGGTTGAAAAAGGGTGATAGCTATCCAGCTAGTTCAAGTCTCTTTACAAAAGCTACACTGGTGCAATAAGCTAAATAGTCACTAAATTATCCCCAACTCCTTTTTTGCCCTTGGTGGTCGTGGTGAATTGCCTCCTTGACTTACTGCAGTCCCTGGAGTTGTAGGGATACAGTACGGTTAGAGAGGTAGTTCCAAGATTTTGACCCAGTGACAATGAAGAAATTATATTTCCAAGTCAGCACAGTAGGTGCTTTGGAGAGGAATGTTGGTAAGATCGTAAGTAGGTGTGACTATTTTTCCCCTTCATGAAGCTATGTTGACTCCGATTATATCATGTATTCCTAAACGTTCTGCGAGTACATTCTTTGTAATAGACTCTAACATTTCCCAATGGCAGAGGTTAAGCTAATTGGTCTATAGTTACCTTTTTGTGTGTTTTTTGTCTCGCTCCCTTTTTCCAATATGTGTTATAGTGGAAGCTTTCCTATTGTCCCTTGGGCTGGGAGTCACCTTGCAGAGGTGACAGCTTTGTAGTATTATCATTAGACTACCAATCCGAAAACACAGCTAATCACATACAGAGTAAGATATAGCCTCAGTGAATATATAGTTTGGGGAATTTGAAGGCAGCATGGAACGTCAGTGCAGAGGGGGAAAAGGTGCTTTTTGCATTTTTTTTTTTAGGCTCACAGATTTTCAGGTTCTGAAAGGATAAATTGAAGACTGGAATCAGGGCCCAGCACAAAAGACTGACACCATAGGTAAACCGTAAGATCGTTTAATAGGTACTGATTTGATTTTCTATTGCAGACTACTGTCAGATCGCATGTGAATAGGGGAGATACTTATGTGCTGCAAGTTTAAAAGATCTGTACAAAATTTAAAATAGAGATGGTAGACCAGGTGATGTGGTGTTACTGTATGATTTGGGAGCTGGTGGACCCCATCATGGTTCAAAGTGACCACATTTGTAACAAGTGCTAGTTGCTTGAGGAAGTGTGGCTCAAAGTTGATGAACTGGAGTCTGAACTTCTAAAATTGTGACACATCAGCGATGGGAAGAGCTACCTGAACGTTTCAGGCACTACTCTTTGATTAACTTCCTCAAATTCGATCAGGGACAGGAGGTGTGACTGAGCAAGGCAGGTAGAAGAATCTAGGAGGTAGTACTGAAGGAGCCTCAGCCCTTGAGCTTGTCTAAAGGGAATCTTTCTCCCTGCATGGAAGAGAGCAATGGCTGCAAATACTAACAATACAGGTGGGAAAAGAAAAGATGATCTGCAGAGGAAATATGAGCAGCTAGGGGTTAAATTAGAAAGCAGAAACAAAAAGATGTTAATCTCTGAATTACTACCTGAGTCACAGGCAAATTGGCACAGGGCTAACAAGGAGGTAAATGTGTGACTTGAAGATTGGTTTGGGGGAAATGTGTTCGAATACATGGGACATTGGCACCAAAACTGGGGAATGAGGGAGATGTTCCGATGGGATAGGCTGTCCCTGAATCAGGTTGGGACCAGAGTTGCTGTGGATAAGGCTTCAAAATAAATAGTGGGGAGTTGGGTTCAGCAGAAGTTACTAAAATTTCCAGAACAATAATAGGACAGAGTATGGAAAGGCTCAGGAATCTAACTTCTGACATAGCAGATAAAGGCACAACTGAGAAGGTGGGCAGTTAATGCAGGACTGAAGGTGTTGTATTTAAATACACAATATATATAAAACAAGGTAAATGAACTTGTAATACAGATTAAAATTAGCAGGTACAATTTTGTGGGTGTTGCATGTGACTACAAGGGGATCAGGGCTGGGAACTAAATATCAAAGGAAGCACATCCAATTGAAAGGATTGTCAGAAGGGGGCAAGGTTGCTTTTCTTTAATAAGACCCAATTAAATCAATAGCAAGAAGTGATATCACATCAGTAGGTGTAGAACATGTGTGGGTAGAGTTGAGAAACCACAAAGGAAAAAGACCCTGATGGAAATTGTGTTTGGGCCTCCTAGCAGTAGTTGGGAGGTGGGGAAGAAAATAAATCAGAATACAGAAAAAGCATGTAAGACAGGCAAAATTGCAATAATCGTGGGGGACTTCAATATGCAAGTGGACAGGGAAAATTAGGTTGGTAGCCAATCTCAAGAAAAAGAACTTGTGGAATGTCTCAAGTTTTTTATTTTGAAGCAACTTGTGGCATAGCCCACCAAGGAATGGACAATTCCAGATTTAATGACGTTTAATGAGGCAGGCTTGATTAGGGATCTGAAGGTGAAAGAACCCCTGGTGAAAATGACCATAAGAAAAGAATTCACACTGCAGTTTGAGGGGGAGAAGATTGAATCAGATGTAACAGTTTCATAACTGAATAAAGGTTATTACAAAGACACGAGGGAGAGTCTGGCCAGAGTTCATTACAAGAGAAGACAGTGGAGTAGCAATGGCAGGAGTTTTTTGGGATAATTTAGGAGGCACAGCAGAAATTCATCCCAAGGAAAAAGAAACCTACTGAGGGGCGATTGAGGCAATTATGGCTGTTAAGTGAAGTCATGGACAGTATAAAAGCAAAAGAAAAAGCATACAATGTGGTGAAGATGTATGGGAAGCCTTTAAAAACCAGTAGAGAATAAATAAAAAAACAATAAGGTGGTGAGAAGACAAAATATGATAACAAGCTGCTAGTAATATAAAAGAACAATCCAAGAGTTTTGTTAGATATCTGACAGCTAAGAGAAGCAAGAGTGGACGTTAGACCACTAGAAAATGAGGCTGGAGAAGTAGTAATGGAGAACCAAGAAATGACATAGGAACTGAATAGGTACTTTACTACAATTTTCACCAGCAGACGTCATTGGGAACATTCCAGAACTTTTGAGAGTTAGGTGCAGAGGTGAGTGGAGTGGCCATCACTAAGGAAAAGGTGCTGGGAAGCTGAAAAGTCTGAAGTTGGGATAAAATCACCTGGACCAGACAGATTACATCCCAGAGTTCTGAATGAGGTTGCTGAGGAAATTTGTAGAGGCATTAGTGATCTTTCAGAAATCACTGGAGTCAGGAGGGTGCAAGGGACTGAAAAATAGCTAACATTAAAACCTGTTTAAAAAGTGAGGGAGGCAGAAGACCAAGAAGCCACAGACAAGTCAGCCTGACCTCTTGTTGATAAAATTGTTTACTTGGAAGTGCATGGTAAAATAAGGATGAGTTGGTATGACTTCTTCAGGGGAAGTTCATGCTTGACAAATCTGTTAGAATTCTTTGGGGAGGTAAGGGGTGTGTTAGACAAAGGAGAGCCAGTGGATGTGATCTATTTAAATTTCCAAAAGGCCTTAGACCAGTTCCCACATAGGACACTGCTAAGTAAGACAGCCCATGGCAAGCATGGGGGCAGCACGGTGGCTCAGTGGTTAGCACTGCTGTCTCATAGTGCCAGGGGCCTAGGTTCGATTCCACCCTCGGGCGACTGTCTGTGTGGAGTTTGCACATTCTCCCCGTGTCTGCATGGGTTTCCTCCGGGTGCTCCGGTTTCCTCCCACAGTCCAAAGATGTGCAGGCGAGGTGGTTTGGCCATGCTAAATTGCCCGTAATTGTTCATGAATGTGTAGATTAACTAGGGTCTGGGTGGGATGCTCTGAGGGTCGGTGTGAACTTGTTGGGCCAAAGGGCCAGTTTCCACACTGTAGGAATTCTAAGATACTGGCATGGTAGAGGATTGGTTGACCAGCTGAAGGCAGAGAGTACAAATATAGGGGTCATTTACATGATGGCAGCTGACGACTAACATAGCTCCACAGGGATCCATATTGGGTCCATAACTAGTTATGTTACAAATTAATGATCTGTTTGAAGGAACTGTGGTGATTATTGCAAAGGTAGTGTTGAGGAAGCAGGGAGGCTGTAGAAGGACTTAGTCTATGAGAGTGGGTAAAGAAGTAGCAAATGGAATACAATTTGGCAAAGTGTGAGGTTAATCACTTTTAAGAATAGAGGTATAGACTATTTTCTAAATGGGAAGGGCTTCAGAAATCTGCAGCACAGTGATTTGGGAGTCCTAGTTCAGGAATCTTTTAAGGTTAACATGCAGGTTCACTTGGCAGTTAGGAAGGCAAATGCAATGATAGCATTCATTTAGAGCTAGAACATGGGCAGTAATATACTGCTGATGCTGTACAAGTCTCTGGCTAATTGCATTTGGAATATTGTGAGCAGTTTTGAGCTCCATATCTAAGGAAGAATGTGCTGACATTGGAAGCAGTCCAGAGGAAGTTTACAAGAATGATCCTGTGGATGAAAGGCGTGTCATATGGGGAGCGGTTGAGAACTCTGGGTCTGTACTCAATGGGGTTTAGAAGGATGAGACAGGATCACATTGAAACTTGCAGGATGCTGAGAGGCCTAAATTAGAGTGAATGTGGAAAAGATGTTTCCACTAGTATGAGAGACAAGACCCAAAAGTGAAGGGACGACTCTTTAGAACTGAAATGGTGAATTTCTTCAGTCAGAGGATGGTTCATCTGTGGACCTCATTGCCACTGAGAACTGAATACCTAGTCATTTAGTGTATTTAAGACCGGGAAGTTCTTCATTGGTAATGGGTTCAATGGTTGCAGGGAGAAGGCAGGAGAATGGAGTTGAGAACGATTTATCAGCCATGATTGAATGGCAGAGCAGACTTTATGGGCTGATTTGAATTAGCTAATCTTGATGGGAAACAGCAATACAGTCATTAACTCTTCTGTATGAGGAAGGAAATAACCTCAAGAATCTGATTGCTTCATCAGTAAAATAAATTGCTTCCCAATTTTACATGTGGTTAACTGCTTATCAATTATTTTGAATTAAATTTTATCACTTGACTCTTCTACAATTATTTTACCTTTTAGGTACAAAGAGCTTCCTGATCTTGATCAAGTTTAATTGAAACAAGTTTGTTTTCAAATAGTTTAATATTTTGGGGTTTCATCTGCCATTGATCCAGTATACTGCTGGTAATGGTCAAGTGACATTTGTTGGCTAAAGAATCCTTGATGCTCTTGACAGTGGAATCATTGACAGTACCTCTTGTACTGTCCTAGATTCCCCACTGGCCCTCCCCATCTTCCATCCGTTTGAACTCTGATATATTGTAAATATGGTAAGGAATAGGTTTACAAAATGTTTGAATACTTCATTCTCCTTTCTACAGTATTTTGAATGCCAGTTTTTTACTCCAGCGCTATGCTGTTTTTATATTATCGTTAGTTTCACGAGGTGACTTTTGCACAGAGCTTCGATCTGTAGGTGAAAACATACCAGTTAGAAAGCATGAATTTGAAAATTGATCAAGGACCATCAGACGCAACCTATTACTTGCAATAGTCAGCTACTAGGTTAAGATGAGAATATTCTAACCCGTAGACTAGCTAGGTCATGTACCTGTAAAACTCGGCGCTATAATATCTCTTTCAATATTCTTTAATGATAACCACTTTGATTTTGCTTTGTAACTTTTTTTTCTAGCTGATGATATTGCAATTGGAAGCAATCTGGTATTTGAGACATCACTGTTAACTCCTCCAGACACATTAGAGGTAAGATTTGATAGTTTGGATACAATAGTCTTGAAACATGAATACACCTTTTGTTTTTCTAGGGTTACATTAATAATGTTCTTGAACTGTGAACAAATCTGGGTATTAATACAGGTCAACACAGTGTGGAGCTGGAAGAACACAGTAGGTCAGGCAGCATCAGAACAGTAGGAAATTTGATGTTTTGGGTCAGGACTCTTAAGAACTCCTATTCCTCTGTTGCCTGACCTGCTGTGTTCCTCCAGCTCCACACTGTGTCGAGTCTGACTCCAGCATCTGTAGTTGTTGCTACCTCCATGCATATTAATGCAGTGTGTAATGCGTTAGCTGGACACGGAACAGAAGGAAAATTGGTCATCCACATTCTTCTATGGTTCAGCTGCCTGGATATTTTGATTCAGTACTGTATTAAGTTGTTCTAGGGTATGGTTATAAAAGGAATTGTTTGTAATAGTCAAAGAACAGTTTACTTCACTAACCCTGGGTTGTTAAAAGGTTGCTTTGGAAGTTTTGGCCCTTGATTTCTACTTAATGGCCACCAGTAAATCTGTGTATATGAACAGTTTGAGTTGTAGCTCCCTGTTAATGAATGATCTGCAAATGCTCACTGTCTAATTTGGCATGAACAGCTTTAGTAAAATACTGTTAAAGTATCCTGTGCTTGCTGCCAACAACTTGTGTTTGTGGAGAAAATTGAAGGAAACGAACAGAAATAGGTGTGAAAGCGAAAATCTCAATTGTTTCCTCTGGGTGCTCTGGTTTCCTCCCACAATTCAATAGCATGCAGGTTAGATGGATTGCCTGTGCTAAATTGTCCATAGTCTCCAAGGATGTGCAGGCTAGTTGGATTAGCCATGGAAAATGCGGGTTTAGACATGTAGGGCGGGGAGTTGTGGTCTGAGTGGACTGCTCTTTGAGGGTCAATGTGGACTCAATGAGCTGAATGGCCTGCTTCCATACAGTAGGGAATCTGTGATTCTATGATTCTGACCACATGGAGCAGCTGGAGTTGCAGATGGACTCGTTGTGAAGCACCCATGGTGCTGAGAATGTCCTCTGTAGCATCTTTAGTGAGCTGGCCTCACCACAAGTAAGGGCTACACATGCAGAAAAGTATTTTGACTGTCAGGAAGACTAGTAGGCTGGGCAGTAGCAGTCCACTGCTCCATTTTCTGATAAGTATATGATACTGGATACTTTAGGGGATGGGGGGATGGAAGCAGCAACAGCCAAGTTTGTGGCACCACAATTGGCTCTGCAGTACAGCAGGGTTACAAGACAGCTGGGACAGCTGTTATGATTGCAAATGGAATTGATAGTCAGTTCTTTAGCCTCAGACAAGACTCTTGAATGATATGTTGCCCCCCCTGGTGCCAGGGTCAGGGATGTCTGAGCTGCAGGGCATTCTGAAGTGAGAGGAGGAGCAGCTAGCAGTTGTGGTACATGGCAGTTCCAACAACATGCATTTTAATAAAGAGAGATCCTGCAACAGAAATTGAAGTAGGTATTAGATAAAAAAAGACTACTAAAGTTGTAATCTCCGGATTGCTTCCAGTGCAATACACTACTGAGTTTAGGAAGATGGATCAGATGAATGTGTTGCTAAAAGGATGCTTTAGGTTTTGGAATCATTGGGACCGTTTCTGGTACAAGTGGGACCTATACAAGTTGAACAGGTTGCATTTGCAATGAAATAGGTTCAGTATCCCTACTGGAAGGTCTGTTTGTGATGGGGAGGTTTTACACTGATTTGGCAGGGGTACGGAACACAGTATGAGTGAAGTCAGGAGCAAGGCCCAATCCAGTATAGAAGGAATGCTGGGATAATTCAGACGGAGAAAGCATGTGCATAAGGCACATAGGGGGACAGGAAAGCTAAATTATATCTATTTTAATGTAAGGAGCCTGACCAGTGAAGTGGATGAATTAATTTTGAGTATTGATCATGTGGGAATATGATATTGTTGTAACCACTGCGACATGGTTAAAGGATGGCTAGACCGGCAACTCAACATTCCAGGACATAGAGGTTTGAGGTATAATAGGAGGGATGTAAGAGAGTTGGTAGCATTACATGATTAACAGAGAACACCATCACTGCAGTAATGAGGGAGGATATCTTTGAAAACTCTTGAACCGAAGCCACGTTTAGAGATTAGAAATAAAGAGCAGTTACTTTGGTGGAATTATACTACAGGCCTCCTAACCTTTTCTGATGAAGGGTCTAGGCCCGAAACATCAGCCTCTCTGCTCCTATGATGCTGCTTGGCCTGCTGTGTTCATCCAGCCCTGCACCTTGTTGTCTCGGATTCACCAGCATCTGCAGTTCCTACTATCTTAGAAAAGCAAGGGTTGATGAGGGCTAATCACAGATTTATTAAAGGGAGATCTTGTCTGACTAATTGAACTTTTTGAAAAGGTGACTATATTGATGAGGGTAGTGCAATTGATGTGGTTTGATATGGAGTTCAGTAAAGCCTTTGGCAAAGTCCCACCTGGAAGGCTGGTCCAAAAGGTAAGAGGCCATGGATCCAAGGCAAGTTGGCAAAGGGCACCCAAAATTGGTTTGCAAATAGGGGTGTTGTTTGGTGGTTGGAAGCCTCTGACTAGTAGTATACTGCAGGTTTCAATGCTGGGACCCTTGCTGTTTGTTATGTACATTAACAACTTCAATGTGAATGTAGAACATGTAATTAGTAAGCTTGCAGATGACATGAAAATTGAGTTGATAGTGAGGAGGATGGTCTCTGACTATAGTCTGAAATTGATCAGCTGGGTAAATTGGGCAGAGCAATAGCAGATGGAATTGAATCATGTTAAGTGTGAGGTGATGAATTTTGCGAGGTAAGAGAAGAACTTACTCAATAAATGGCAGGTCCCTAGGGAGTATGAAGGAACAAAAGGATCTTCATGTAGAAGTCTATAGAACCCTGAAGGTGTCAGCACAGGTAGACAGGGTGGTGAAGAACACATTTTAGAATCCTTGCCTTGGTTAGACATGGTGTAGAATGTAGGAGCAGGGAAGTTTTGTTACAACTTTATAGTGCATTGGTTAGATGCAGGTGAATACTGTTTGCAGATCTGGTTGCCAGTTATTGAAGGGACACGATTGCACCAGAGAAGGTGTAGAGAAGATTCACCAGAATGTTGCCTGTGAAGGAAAATCTGTTATGAACAAAGACTGTATAAGCGTTCTTTTTCCCGGAAGCAGAGGAGACTGATGGGGAAATCTGACTGAGCCAAACAAAATTGAAATGTATAGATGGGGTCATTCGTGTGAATCTCTTCCCTGTGGCTGACATGTCTAAATCCAGAGACTCTGCATTTAAGGTGAGGAATAAGAGGTTTTGAGGGAATTGGAGGAAAAGGATATTTTCATCTACAGAGTGGTAATTTTATGGAACATGCTGCCTGAAAGGGTGTTGGCACAGGTACTCCCTCAACAATTAAGAAGCATCTGGACGTGTACTTAAAAAGTGATGGACCAAGTGCAGATAAATGGAATTTGTATTGTTTGATGTCTATTGGTCAGCATAGAGATGGTCGGCCGAAGGGCCTGTTTCTATGCTCTATGACTTTAACTCTGTAAACCTAATGGCATCTTATAAAATGCTTCCTGGAAATTTAAGTTCAGTAATTTCACTGGTTTCCCTTCATCCACAGCAAATGCTGCTTCTCCAAAGAGCTGTACTAAATTGGTTGAACACGATTTACCTTTCACAAAATCATGTTAACTCTCTCTGATTAACTTTAAAATTCTAAGTGCCATGATCTTTAAAAACACATCATTAAAACAACTTTTAATATTTTTTTCATGAATGAAATTAAGTGAACTGGCCCTGACCGTTTTTTTTTATTTAAATGAGTTACATTTGCCATTTTCAGATCTAATAGACCCTCGTATGCATCTAAGGAGTTTTGGAACACTGAATCCAATCTATCAACTATCTCAACAGTCACTTCTTTTCGGACCCTAGGATGAAATCCATTGGAACCTGGGGACATTTTTTTTTCCTTTTTTTATTGTTTGTATCCTTGAGCCTTCTCTGTTGATTTGCTCTTTGATTTGTATACTCTATCTTTTTAGTTGTGGTCTGTTAACCATTTCCTACATTAATATTTTTCTCCTTTGCTTTACCTCTCTTTGAAGTCACATGACACTGAGTTATAGTCCTACAAGTTTATTTGAAATCACAAGGTTTTGGGGCAGTGCTCCTTCATCGGGTGAAAGATTGTCAAATCCAACACAGCCAATTACCGCCCAATCAGTCTACTCTTGATCACCAGTAAAGTGGTGGAAGGTGTAATCAGCAGTGCTGTCAAGGAGCACCGGCTCAACAATAACTTGCTGAGCAGTTTGGGTTCTTCCAGGCCAGTCAGCTCCTGACTTCTTTACAACCTTAGTTCAAACATGGACAAAGGTGGTAAATTCCAGAGGTGATATGAGAGTGATAGCCCTTGGTATCAAAACTGCATTTGATTTGTGTGGTATCAAGGAGCCCTAACAAAACTGGAATGAATGGACATCAGAGGCTTGTGGTCATTCCTGACACATAAGATGGTCACTGTTGTTGGAGCATAGCCATCTCCTCTCCAGGGCATCTCTCTAGGAGTTCCTCAAGGTAGTGTCCTAGACCCAATCACCTTCAGCTACTTTAGGGTGGTATGGTGGCTCAATGGTTAGCACTGCTGCCTTACAATGCCAGGGACCTGGGTTTGATTCCACACTCGGGTGACCGTCCGTGTGGAGTTTGTGTATTGTCCCAATGTCTGCATGGGTTTTCTCTGGGTTACTCCAGTTTCCTCCCACAGTCCAAAGATGTGTATGTTAGATGGATTGGCTTTGCTAAATTGCTGTGTAGTGTCCAGGGATGTGTAGGTTTGATGAATTAGCCATGGGAAATGCAGAGTTACAGTCATGGGATGGGGGAGTGGGTCTGGGTAGGATGCTCTTCAAGGGGGTCAGTGTGAACTCGGGATGAATGACGTGTAAGGTTAAA